TATTCTCTGTTTACAGGCTTTCAGGTTGCCTGGTCACAGAGGAAGGCTGTGCTGCTCTGGCCTCAGCTCTGACTTTGAACCCACATCACCTGAAAGAGCTGGACCTCAGCTTTAATTATCCAGGAGTGGCTGGAATGGAGAGTCTAAAATATATGCTCAAGAATCCAAAAATCCAGATCAAAATGGACTCTCTCAGGTAGGAAAATGATGTCCACACAGTAACCACTGTTCCTCAATACTGTACTGAGGATTGACGCAAGGCAAGGCAATGCAATGCAATTTTATTTGTGTAGTACATTTTTAATAGTACTTTACATGAGTAGAAGAAAAATAAAATAAAACCAAAAAACTTACACTGCAGTGACAAACTAAAGGAAAATAAAGGCAGGTTTAAAAACAGTCTAGTCTTTTGTTATTAATCAGTCTATTCTCTGAGATACAGGGAGCCAGTGTAGGGACTTAATAACTGGGGTGATATGTTCTATCTTCTTGGTTTTAGTCAGAACACCAACAGCAGCGTTCTGGATCTGCCTCAGATGGAGGATTGATTTTTTTAAGCAGACGCTGTTGGAGTAATCGATCAGACTAACGTCTCAGCAGGACTAATGTCTTGCTAAGTTCTCTAATCCTGTAAATTTTCTTTAGGTGATAGAATCCTGACTTTGTAACTGCATTGTGCAAATTGTACTGCTATTGATAATACTATCTTTAATAGATAGTATTATCTGTTAAAGATAACAGATAATAAAACCTCTCAACATTGCCAAGAAGTTCAAGTATAAAACTTATCATTCAAAGGCAAAAACAGGTTCCATTACAATAAACAGTCCTGAGTTACTGAATGAAAACTTCCTGTTAGCATGGCGGCTAGCTGATTACTGCTAGCTCTGATTGGCTGTTTCTGACTGAGCGGAGTAATTATGCAAATCAGGGAGGAGATTGATTATTTTTTCAGAGATTATTTGTCTCATGTTAGGACAGCAGAAGTTTTAATACGTATGTAAAATTTATTTTTTTAAGTTAGATGCTGCAGCTTTAAGCAGAGGTTCGGTGTGAGAGTCACTACCAGGTGGAGCAGAAGCGAAGCTCCGTCTGTCTAAATTACTACCTGTAGCGTAGCAGCGGTTCAACAGCGAGAGCAGAACCAGAGTCTGACATCGCAGCTCGAAGACCTAAATAATTTTGCGGGTTATTTGTTTAGCTTTCTGACCGTCATGCTAATCCGGGTGAGTGTTTGTTGCGGTGCGCTGCTTTACCTGCTATCTGATCCTCCATATCTCTTTTTTACTGCAGGGAGCCTCAATGTAGCCACACTCCGTCAAGTATGGCTTTGTTTTTATGTCGTATTAGCTTCGTTGTGTTGATGCATTTTGACCTGCTTCACCCCACGTGCTTCTATTTTCCGCAGCAACACGCAGCAAACTTCCCCATTCACTCAGTGCATTATAGTTCCACATCGCTTAGGATTTGTTGCTGCGCGTTTGCGCAGAGTGAAGGAAAGAGGAGACCAGCTGCACAGGCAGGCTGGGAAATTAGATGATCGGTATCGGCAACAAGAGCCAATGATCGCCGATCACCGATCATGCACTTTTTCACGAAAATCGCCCGATTATGATCGGTGACCGATCGATCGGCACACCTCTACTAAATATAGCAGAAAAGTCGCTCAGTTGACAAATGTGAGGTGACTATTGTTAACAGCAAACGTGCAGAC